TGTGTATGTGTGTGTGTGTGTGCATGTAAGTGTGTATGCGTAAGCTTTTGAGGGTGGAGAGGGGCGAGACGGCACACCCATCTTCCAAATACAAAGAGATCACGTCACATAACTGGAGGTCAAAAGCACCCAGACAGTGCAAAACCAACCGTCGCCTTCAGTTGTAAAGAGCATAATGTGTCTCGACAGGGTGAATTCAGGCGCTTGTTGTCAAATTTTCAGCATATAAATTTATTGATATCATCTTAAAGCTTGTTCACATTTCTTGCTTTGAGTTGGGGTTTCTTTTTTTTTTGGTTTTTTTTTCAGTAGAGATATTTGCGATAGAAGGAGGTGGGGGTCGTCTGGTGCCAAAGGTAGAAATTACCCAAAAAATTGTCGTCTAAGTTTGGTGACTTGGGGATGTGTTTATGGCTAGACAGCCATACGAACAAGATGATTTTTCCCTCTTCCGTAAAAGAGTGTGTCTCATTTGCAACTTAACTACTCCGGGTGTATGATAGTGGATTCTGTGAGTGAGGCCATGTAAAATAAAGAATCACATAGAGTAAGAAAACATGTGGGAGAATTTTCAACGGAGTCTTATGCCATGTCAATGGCAGTGGCCTCCGCACAAAAACAAATGGAGGCTACGGGATGGAGCGTCTTCTGGTGAGTATTGGCCCATAACGGAGTCCGTTTTAAAGCCATTGGTGAAGATTTGCTCTGCATCAGAGTATTAAAATTTTTTGGTAGTTTTAAAAAATGAAATTTTGAATGTAGATCTAGTTCGTTTTGGTTTTTTAAATGTTTGAGCATAGTTTGTTGTGTGTGGTGAGTTCTAAGTCTACTTTGCCTTAGCGATTCATAAAGCCAATGTTTAGTGAATTGACTAAGAAAAGCAAGTTTTTAATGCGGCGAACAATTCAAAATGAGTTCTTATTTACGTGAACTGTTTTAAAAGTTGCTCCTACAATTCCACTGTACATGTATTTGACATATTAATAAAATCACTTCAATGGCATCGCCAGACACAAAAAAATACAGTCCACCCTAGAAAGCACAGCATTCCCTATGTGCTCTGACCACACATTTCCTCAGTAGGCCATAGAATAATCAGAAACATTCTC